AAACACATCATCAGCATCCGAGCAACAACACGAAATGCCAGTCGCGCGTGCCAGAACCTTGAAGAATTCGAACCGTGAAGTCTCCAGAATGTAGTTGCATGTAAGCTGATGCTTCCTGCAAGTTTCACCGATTCATAGCTGAATGTTCCCATGTTTCCCATGTTTCCCATGTTTCCCATGGTGACTTTGCGGCCACCGATTTGTTACAAAGAGGCCACAGTTGGACAAATCCTCGTCCCATATTTCTAGAATTGATTTCTCCACTGTTGCTGTTACCCATAACTAACCCAAGATTTACGCGGTTTTTTTTGTTGCTGTGAGATCGCGATAGCTACATCAGAGTTGTTTTCTTTGCAAATGCTTCGCAAGAATCACTTAGTGGGAGTGCCAATCGCTATCTAAGTACTTTTCGAGCTGTTGCTTTCATGTTATCCGAATGAAATTCTACTGGTTTTTCTTAGTCTATATCTGCCGATCTAGTCATCTGATGAACTATTGTGGATGGTTGCGAAATCCTGCACTACCAAAAGGATGGTTGAAGCCCTATAAATATAATATTAAATGATGGGATGTTTAGCATCAACTGGTGATTCGGATTTCGATTTCGCATCTTATACATTCTGAAATACATTCGTTGCTTGACAATGCTGTCCCAATTCTATGGCTTAGTCATGCTTAATTAGTTCGAATCATCCCCAAGGAAAGACGGCGAAGATGGCGAAGTCCCAACTAAAATTCACCAATCCACCAATCGAAAACTCGGCTGATGGCTCAATTGACAATTAGTTATCAACGATATTTTTTCCAACTGTTAACCACCAACAAAAACCATGGTTCTTTATCCGCATGACAACACCTTCACCAATCAACCAGTGGATTTTTCATGGCTCAATTGACATAGATCTTGGTAAATTGTCATAGTTCACTAACCTGAAAAAGTTAGGCCCACACTGCCACCGGGGAGGATTCCAACCATGATTACCCAAGATGCAATCATCAAATATCCATTATATCCCCATCTGTTGACCATTGGAAACCCACTGTCAAACCCATTGGTAACCACTATAAATATGATATGGTTAAATATGGTTAAATATGGTTAAATATGGTTAAATATGCTTAAATATGCTTAAAGATTGTTAAATATGCTTAAATATGGTTAAATATGGTTAAATATTGTTAAATATGGTTAAATATGGTTAAATATGGTTAAATATGGTTAAATATGGTTAAATATGCTTAAAGATGGTTAAATATGGTTAAATATGGTTAAATATGGTTAAATATGGTTAAATATGGTTAAATCTGTTTCCCTCCTGTTCCCTCTGGTTCCCTCTTGTTCCCTTGGTTCCTCCCTCTGGTTCACCTCTGTTTCCCTCGGTTCCATCTGGTTCCACTCTGGTTCCCTCTGCTTCCCGCTGGTTCCCGCTGGTTTCCTCTGTTTCCCTCTGGTAATCCTCTGGTTTCCCTTCTGGTTCCTCTTGTTCCCTCTGGTTCCCTCTGGTTTCCCTCTGTTCCCTCTGCTTCCCGGCTGGGTCACTCTGGTTCCCGCCCGTGGTTAACTCTGGTTCACTCTGTTCCCTCCTGGTTTCCCTCCGGTTTCCCTCGGGTTCCCTCTGGTTCACTAGTTTAAATATGCTTAAATATGGTTAAATATGGTTAAATATGGTTAAATATGGTTAAATATGGTTAAATATGGTTAAATATGGTTAAATATGGTTAAATATGGTTAAATATGGTTAAATATGCTTAAAGATGGTTAAATATGGTTAAATATGCTTAAATATTGTTAAATATGCTTAAATATTGTTAAATATGGTTAAATATGGTTAAATATGGTTAAATATGGTTAAATATGCTTAAAGATGCTTAAAGATGGTTAAATATGCTTAAATATGGTTAAATATGGTTAAATATGGTTAAATATGCTTAAATATGGTTAAATATGGTTAAATATGGTTAAATATGGTTAAATATGGTTAAATATGGTTAAATATGGTTAAATATGGTTAAAGATGGTTAAATATGCTTAAAGATGGTTAAATATGCTTAAATATGGTTAAATATGGTTAAATATGGTTAAATATGGTTAAATATGGTTAAATATGGTTAAATATGGTTAAATATGGTTAAATATGGTTAAAGATGGTTAAAGATGGTTAAAGATTGTTAAATATGGTTAAAGATTGTTAAATATGGTTAAAGATGGTTAAATATGGTTAAATATGGTTAAATATGGTTAAATATGG